AAAGCAATGGACGAAATCGCTTCTGAAGAGCTTTCTCTCTCATCTCTCTCTCCTATCCTCTCTACATTCTCTTCCCCTTCCCTTCTTCTTCTTTTTCTTTCATTTTTGACCAAGCAATGTGAATAAGGGAGGGAGTGATGGATGGTAGGGATATTTAAACCAAAATATAAGTAAAAAGTCTTTTTAATACTTAACACCATGATGCTTATACATCATAGCATTGCAGCACTACATATTGTCCCCAACGTTACTGTAAAACAGTCTTTAATGTCGCAACGATATTTTTTGTCACTGCAGTGCTTTTAGCACTATTGTGATCACAAGCACAACGTTGCAACACTCAATCTATAATTTTTATATTTTTCAAATAAGTGTATTTTGAACTTTTTGGTTGTTACACTACAAACCTTGATTCCCTCGAATGATTTTAAAAGTACTCTCATTGGATAAATTTTACACTATTTATAGATAAAAATTTAAGTTGTTAAAAGCATCATGCCTCTCCCCAAGTTACAAATGGGGTATTTACAGATTGAAGGGCATAAACTTAGAAAAGAAAAATGAAATTTTCTAAAAATTGAAGATTTTTAAATCAAAAAATCATTTTTTTTCCTCTTTTGAAGGGAATTAAAAGGGAAGAAAATTTTTTTTAAAAAAAATTAATAGAGTGACGAACCCAAACATTTTCCAAGATGTCGAAATAGGAGTCTGAAAAATGAGCACCTAAGAAAAAGATGCAATTAGCACCCTTGAGGCACTACACAAGGGATCCATCAACACCACCGACATTAAAACAATGGCAGGTTGGTTGGTTTAGTCGCCAATGCTTGCTCAAGCCACTTTCAGGCTTGGCAAATATGATTCCAATATCCCAAGGATAATGAACTCAATTTTGGCAATTTTGATGCCTAAGAGATCTTCTGAGACCAATTTCAAGCAATTATTACTAGTTATGAGTCAAAATGTTTAATAATTTTTTTTATTGATGTGTTGATTTTAAAAAAAAAAAGATGAAACTCTAACAAAAAAAATTACTAATATAAATAGTCATAGATTTTTATGAGAATAGTATGATAAAAAGAATTTAATTTGAAATGATTTTTCTTTATTAGATTTAGATGAGAATTTGATCCTTAACATGACACAATGAAGAAAAATGATTCATGTAGCCGACCCCACATAGTGGGATAAAGGCTTGTTGTTGTTACATGTTGTTAAGGGAAGGTTCACATTAACATTAAGGGAACAATTGTGCCTCATAATTATTTTTCTTAAATTATGATTTTATGATGAAGATATTTTCAAAGACTAAATATGTATTTCTAATAACACAAGTTTTGACATCCAAAAATAGAGAGAAGCTAGCTGATACGTAATAAAAAACCAACTTGATCAAGAATAAATCTCACATAGTTAATTTCAAAAGTTTTTCAATTCAAATTTAATGTAATAATCTGAATTGTTTTAAAATGAATTTTTAAAATGAAAAATCAGAATTTCAATGTTGTGCCTTGTCAAAGAAGAGAGAGAATATTGTTTATAGTTTTTTCATCTTTAAAATTTGTTCAGATATTTCTTCTATTTGTTGTAAGTAACTCAAATCTAATTTTAATTTTTAGTGATTTTATTATTTTATACATTTTATTGTAATGAACAGAATTGATTATTTCTTACTATATTTTTTAATGTGATATTTGCATAAGCAATAATGTTAAAACATAATGTCCTGTGTAGGAGGACAGGCTGATGAACTTTTCTTTAAAGATGGTTTACTATGTTATCCCGATTGTAGCTTATAACAAATGATTGATTACATTATGGGCAGAGAGTGAAGACTCTTCATTGATTTATAATTGATTAATTGGATAAATAATAATTGATATGACTAATGACCAACTGGAAATCAATTGGGGTAAAAGATGTTGAAAACACCACATTAAATATGTATGTCCTGCTTTGAATGGACGAACCGGAGTTGCGGAAGTGGAGGCTTATCGATATGTTTGCTTGTTAAATGTAACATGTATGCATATTTGAATGCGCTTAATATGAGGATCAAAGCATCGATATGCTTTGTGTGAGGTGGAATAACCCAGGAAGATGCCGGCTTGGGAGAGAGGAGTGAGTTTGTTGGTGGTGAGATGTTTGAGGTGGGGAAAACAGAGACAACCAAATGTGCATAGATGATTGTATGAGGGAAGATGGTCATATTGTAATTGAAAGGGAGTTTGGAAATTGCGGGCAAAGGTAGGGAGCATGTTGATGAGATAGTTTAAGGTGAGTACTACCTCAACCCAAAACTTGAGACAGGAGGTGAGCGATGTGAAGGAGCGTGCGAGTTATGTCTAACAGATGGAGATTTTTACGTTCCACAAGTCCATTTTATTCTTGGGTGTAGAGACAACTAAATTGGTGGAGAATGTCATGATTTTGGAGAAAGTTTTTGAGAGTGGAGATCGTAGACATTGGAACATAGTACTTTAATTGTACAATTGAATTGAGTGTTGACTAATTTAATGAACTGTTGAAGTTTGGTAATAAATTTTGCTTTGTTGTGCATAAGAAAAAAACCAACAAAATCAAGAGTAATTGTCGATAAAGGTTGCATAATAATGATACCCATTTAGAGAGGAAACCACAGCCAAACCCCAAACATCCGAGTGTATTAAAGAAAAAGGAGATGTTACATTGGTAGAAGTAGAATATAACTATAACTTGTGGCTCTTGGCCATTTTACATGACGTGTAGAGAAGGGAAAGAGAAAAGATACAAAGGGATGGGTTGATTTTAGTTATAGTGCTTGTGACTTGCTGATGAGGATGTTCGAGGAAAGCATTCCTTAGGGAGGTTGACGATGAAGTGTTGTGAAGCATAATGGTGGATGGCATCGGAGAGGATGAGGCTGAATAGAGACCAACATGGCTGCAACCATGAAGGAGGATGTGATTGTCCGTAAGATCCTTGATGATGAAGCCGAAAGAGAAAGGAAATGGAGAAATTGTTGTCATATGTAAGTTTATGAATGGAAAATTATGAGAGTGACAGAACATGTAGGAGATTGCAAATAAATAGTTTACGATGGGAGTCAAGGAGGGGTAAGATGCATTGGCAACTGTGGTGAATTGGAAGAGAATTGATGTCGGCGATGGATACACTATCTAATCCTTGATAAGGAGCATATTGCTAAAAATTAGAGGTGTCGGCTGTGAGGTGGTTGGATGCACCAGAGTTTAGTACCTACTCGAAGGGGGTAGATGATTGCTGCTGGGAGAAGAGTGCGCAAGATTGCCAAGTGTTTATGGGAGCATATTGAATATTACAATGATGCCAACAAGATAGAGAAATATGATGTAGTTTGTTGTATATTTGACAGATTAGTCATGGAGTATTAGAAGCTTGTTGTTTGCGGCTAGGGGAGAATATTGGTTCGGGCGAGGGTCCTCGACTACAAGGAGGACGAGGCTGATTGGAGGGTGGACGATTGCTATTTGGTAGAGAGCCTAATGGTCCTTAGGAGGAATCGAGTCTTTAAGCAATTCTTTGTGTTGGTGGATCTCCTCGCTGCAAAGTAGTGAATAAAGTACATCCAAGCTAATGGATGTAGAGCACTCTGAATAGAAGTTTTAAATGAGTTTTAGGTAGAGGGAAATCCATTGAGGATATTTAAGATTATTTCAACATGAGAGCTGGCTACGGCAATATTGTTCACCAATGCTTTGATTTGGGTTAAATATTGGGCCATGGTGCTCCCATTTGAATATGATGTAATTTATTTTTCAATTGAATTACGTGTGATCGATTGGTAGGTTGAAGTCAAAGTTCAAGAGTAGTCCATATTTCATGAGTGGTGGTGAGATTAATAATGTAGGGTAGAATATATGGGAAGATGGTTGAGATGATAGTGAAAATGAGGTTTTGTTTGACTAGCTGCCATAAACGATAGTCATGGAGCTCTGAGGTGGGGTTGAGAGAAGATGAGGTGGGCTTGGGTGGGCAACAAAGTCAGCCTATTAGATAGCCTTTAAATCCATTTGCGGAAAACAATTTGTACACTTGTAATCGCCAAATGGGATAATTGTAGTTTGTGAGCTGGAGATTGACAATATTTTTGATGTTGGTCATCAAGAATTTGAGAGGAGGGGGTATGATATATTCAGTCATTGATGCAGAGAGAGAGGAGGCCTATTGGGTGTTGGTGGAGTCCTATTCAGCCATCGAATAAAGGCAAAGCGGTTGCGCTCAAAGCTATGATATCATGTTGAATAACAGAGCACAACAAAAGGAAAAATACATGAAAAGAATGGAAAACATATTCATTTGTATTTATGTATTCAAAATTATTACAGTGGTTGAGGTAAATATATATAGAGTGAAAAAGGACAATTTGACATGTAATTTGTTGGGATTTGACATTGCACATGGTATTGCACATGGATGATAACCCAATGCATTAATGGTGACATTCTCTCTTGAAGCCTATTGTTTGTGTATGCTAACAATTATGAGAGGATTCAAAATGTTCACACTTTCAGATAAAAAAACTTTGCTCAATTTAAACTTTTTAAGTTATTGCTGTTGCAAGCATGCCCCCAAAGTAAAATTATACTAGCACTATTACCTGACCACAGAACTACTTCACCAGAGAGGTTCATAGATTTGTTTATCATTAATATCACTGTTAAATGTTAATCTCTTATTGATCACATTTCCTCCATCTCAGATGAGAGAAAAAATAACCTCATTACAAACGCAGAGCTTAAACTTGAAAATGCTTAAAATTTTTCTGGCTTCCTGAGCCCAAGTACTTAAGCTGCCCGGCAACATAGGGGAGGGAGCCAGATCCACTAGCGATGAGGATATATTAGAAATTTGAAAAGGGAGGAGAACTACACATGGAGAAGTAGAATAATGTAAGCCCTACTAGCTATGACAATGCTGTACATGAACTTGGGGCCATCAGGCTTCTAATTAAGTCTTCATTTGAGACAGCTTTTAGATTTCATTTGGGACGACTTTCTCATAGCTTCTTAAAATAGTGTTTTAATACAAAAATGAAAATTTTTGTATGGAAAACTGCTTTAAGAAGAAGCAAGAAAGCATTCTCAAACGAAGCCTTAATAATTATATTTTGACTACTTTCAAAAAAAATTAATACTAAAATCTTGCTATAAAATATAGTGAGAAAACTATCCCAAATGAAACTGAAGTATGAGCATACTAATGTTAAGAGCATCATATATGAAATTTTCTATGCAGTCTCAAAATTTATTAATAGTAATCATTTTAAAAATAATTAGAACTTATTTATTTACTCAATTAACACCATATTATCTTATGCAGCTTATCATGATCTATTGTTTGAGAGTTTTAACTACCAATCAAGAGGTATTGAATTTGAATTTTACGTACATGATGTATGTATGAGTTTATTCTAATTGACCTAAGTGTCCACAAAAAATATCAAATTGCCTCTATTCATCAACTTTCCATTAAGTTGAAGTTTATCATAAGACTTTCAACTTTTACTCTCAATATTTTATCAAATGTATAATTATTTGATTGTATCAGCATTCAACAAGCTCATTTACATCAATTTGTGAAGTACACTCACAAATAATCAATTTATTTTATAAAATTTCTTCAAGTTATGAAGGAGAAAAATTTAGCAGACAATGATCTTCAACATGGGTTGTATACGACAAAAATCTTCAACAAAAATCCTCAAGAAATTAGGACAAGCAGGATCACTCTTTCACCATAAAATCTCTTTTAACTGAAGAGGACAAATGAGATGGTAAATTGGTAATTCACCTACAAACTTCTTGATCATTAAAAAGACCTATGCCCTGTTTCTCTGAAGGAATTGAAAGGGAGGAAATGAAAATAATTAAGATAGAAATCTCAGTAATCACTACTGTCGGATTTTTATCCGAATATTTTAACTTTTTTTTTTTTAATTACGCTTTATCTATGCTCTGTAGATACTCGATGGAGCTCGAAGGTGACTGCAACAAGGGATTATTACATACAATGTTCGGATCGTTTGAAGGTGAATCTGAATCACATCACTCGAATGCATCGGGCTCCGAGTGACTGGCACGCCCAAATTCTCCTCCGCACAAATTCGAAAGCAGCATGTAATAAATTTTCAGACTGCAACAGCCCATGAGCACACCAGCGCTGATTTTTTTGGCCTGCAACTACGGGATTCTATCATTAGGATTCCATTAATAAAATTAAACGTAAAATTCTGTAATTTTTCACTAAAAAAGGTATAATTTTGTTGATGAGATTCCATCAAAATTTGATCTTGTTGCAGGGTTCCGCTTAGCCTGTAGAGTGTAGAGTAACTGATAGGCTAATTTTGTTGATGAGATTCCATCAAAATTTGATCTTGTTGCAGGGTTCCGCTTAGCCTGTAGAGTGTAGAGTAACTGATAGGACATTGGCTGAGAGACGAGGAAAATGACAATGGATAGACAAGTTAATTAATTAAACTACTTAATTTTATAATATTTACCTGCAAAATATAAAATTTATAAAAAATAAAATGCTAATTTGCTTGAAAAGAAGATGCTTTCAGCATTGAGAGGACATTGTCACATCGGTGACAGTGTCATCAAAAGAATCGACCAAATAATCATTTTATTTTCAATTATCTTTTTCTTATGTGAATTTAATTTTAATTATTAGAAGTTAGAAATCCTACTTTAGGCCCTTAAGCTTTGTACTTTATGTGTTTTTTGATAAATATACGACAAGATATAAATTAAATGCAAGCAAATAGTAATTTTTATTAACCAAATGAGTCGAAGCTCAGCCAAAACTCATTTTCTCTTTATATCATTTATGGGTGATTTATGTTTTGCGGTATCAGTGCTATCTGTCAGAGCTTAATCTTCTTTGCTCCTTTTCAACTTCAATGGTAAGTGCTTACAAATTTCTATCTTTGTTCCTTTACTTTCCCTGTTTTTTTTTTTTTTTGGAGGATCACTTCTGTCGTTTTTCTGAATATACATTTTCTTATGATTTCATCGATCATGGCTTAGATTATTGCAAAAAATCCCTTTTAATGTCTTTGCCTCCAGCTTGAACTAGTTGGAGTTCTTGATTCATTCCTTTGTTCTGCAATTACTAGGAAGTGGAACGAACTTACCTGATACTGATGCTGAGATGAGGAAAATGTGTTTAAGAAAAATTATTATCCGTTCTCTTTCTTTTAATTTTTTTCAGTTGTTATGTTTTTGCAAGGAAAATTTGAGGTTTTGATTCCTTTTCTCTTAGCTGCTTTCAGATTAAGGAAGTTGAAGGAAACGAAATAAAATAATGGAAATTTGCGGATTTTTATGAAGCTGACAGTCATGGAGTTAAAAATTTTTACACCTACTTCCTTTCTTCAACAAAAAAAAAAAAGACTATTTTATGAAGCAAATGACCAGTTTTTTCATAAACTTTTCTGCTTCTTTCGTGCTGTTCTTTTGATTGCACTTTAATCCAAGTATCCAACCATATAGATCTCACTTGGAAACTCATGAAAATGAAAAAGAAATCAAATAATTTAATCAATGCCTTAAGTTCTTCACTGCATTCAGAATTTTTTTGATCCTAAATATCATGCAATGGATTCTATATTACCCTCAGTGTTTAATTCTCCATACCTTGGCTACAGCAAAGTGTTTAATATATTAGAAACTTGCCTGTCAAATGCATAACTCTGCTGCTTTCAGTTTATTGAAAAATTATTCTGTGCGGACGCCGAACACAGTTCTATATCCGGAGACCAACCAGAATGAACCACATCAGCAATACCGAGCATGGTACCAAGTAGTACCGAGCTGCGGTACCGAGCAGTACCGACGTGGTTCATTCTTGTTGGTCTCCAGACAGAGTTTGATGTCCGCACAGAATAATTTCATGAGTTTATTACCCCACTCCTCTGCAAGATTCTCTAGCGTGCATGAAGACGATGAAGTAGAATTTTGAGTCTCACGGACTACAAAATAGCTCGCTGGATTGGTCGGAAGTGATGGTATGACCTTAAAAACTGTGCGCATAAGCCTTCATTTGAGACAACCTTTTTATTGCTTCTTAAAACAGAGTTTTAGATTAATTTTGTACTAAAACTCTGTTTTAAGAAACAATAAAAAAAGTCATCTCAAACGAAGCCGAAATCTTGTTTAGAAACTCATGAACAGTTTGTGTTATACAGTTTACTGTTATGCAAATTTAAATGTTTTCTTCTCTTATGGTTTTATCTAAAGTAATGAACGAAGTTGCTTGGTTATTTTACTTTTCCGACTTCATATATTGCTGTTCTCATGAATTTGCTTCACCTGTACCATTAACTTATAGAAGATAATATAGGCTTTATCAGATGTTTTATATATATATTGCTACCCATGAAAGAAACCTGGTTTCAGTCAATGTCTCAGGAAGATTGTTACTCCATGATCTCTTGATCAGTGCACAATAATAATTTGATGTTAAAGATGTTTTGGATACTTTAAATGTCTCAGCTTACTGTCGATTGTATAAGATTGCGCCTTCGCCTTGTCTAGCCACATTAAAAGCACAGAGATTCCTTATGATCTATGTTTTATAAGTTTCTGAATGCATAACTACCTACATCTGCAGTCAAATCTCTTAGAAAATGAATCTGGATGTCTGTCAAATCGTTGCAAAAAACTAAAGCAAGAGCATACTCTGTCAACCAAAGAATCAAATAATGTTGGTGCGTATGTTCCTGAACTCTCTCACTTGGATTACTCTTATTTATTAACTTTCCTCACAAATGATAGAGATATGCAGGTCTTCCAGTTCCAATTTCCACTACTCCGCTTACTGGAAATCCATACTTCACATCAATTGTGGTAAAATCTCAAGTAGAATCCCCATATCAACTGGTAATTTACTGCATTGGGCTTCTATTTCTGCACATTACATAAATAAATACATATAAAATATAACGAGGAATTTAGTCTGAAAGCAGATGATACCAAAGAGTTTCCATAAATCTCTACCGAATGCTACTCTTCAAGTACCCCTTGTACATCAGGGAAAGACATGGGTGGTGAAATACTATGGAGAAAGCGCCCTTAAGAGGTTTGGTACTGGATGGAAGAAGTTTGCGCTTGAAAACAAATTAAAAATTGGAGATGGATGTGTTTTTGAGCTTATAGATGACGATAAGGAGCTAAAGCTGGGCGTGCAAATCCTCAATGGCCAAATCCCCCTCGAGTTCATCAGGCTGGGAAGTGCTGAAAAACCAATCAATCTCGACTGAAGTTTCATTTTCTCTGACTTGTTTGAGCCCTCTCGTATATCACTGTAATATCTGTATGATATTTCTATTACGTGTTTTACTAAACTTGTACTGTAGAGATAGAGAAATTATTCTGTGTGGAGATCAGATGCAAAATGTCGTCCAAAGACTAATAAGTTTGCACCACATCAGCAGTACCGAGCCGTGGTACTAAGCGAGGGGTGATGTGGCGCATTCTGATTGATTTTCGAACAGTGTTTGACGTCCGCACAGAATAATTAATCGTATGAGGTTTGTAATGTAATGATGCTGTTGAAGGGGATTCTGCTGCTTTAAGTACTCTCATTTCATTCCATACTATTATAATAGATGAATTTCATTAATTAGTATTTTTAATTTAATTTAATTCATTTATGCATAATTGTTTATTAAAATACATATTAAAATTTTAAAATAAATCTAATTAATTTTATAGTCATGTTTTAGCAATATATCAAATTAATTCATGTTACACTCGTTATAATTTCTATCAAACTGATTATTCTATCATAATGTTTTAAATCATAATTTTATCAAATAATTATCTACATTTTTTACAGCAAAATATAGCTTAACATAATAAACAACTAATGAGCTCATGCATGAGAGCCGCTGCAAGCTGCATTTCAAGCACATTGCAGATGAAGCAGCAACTTAACCCCTTTTATTATATCACCAATTATAAACCAACCATAAATAAATCACCAATTATAAATCAATCATAAATGCTCTAAGGCTTTGTTTTATTTGAAGGGATTGAAAGAAAATGTAAATGACAATAATTTGATTCAAACAAACAAATCTCAGTTTTGATTAGAACTGAGCAAACAATTGTTCATGAAAAAAAAAATTTATATCATAAGTGAATTTAAATTACTTGAAAGTTATATTGAAATCAAATAATTGGCAAAATCAGGAAGCACTTTTATATTCTCTTTAATTCTTTAAAACAAAACAGAAGCTAAGCTTTTCTGGCAGAAAGAGCTCAGCAAGACGCAAAAGACAAGTTGAAGGACTTGAGCAATGCTTCAAAGAAGAAGATGCAAAATTACAAGGCAAATGCAGAAGATTCAACAGAAAAGCTGTTTCCTTTCATTACAGTGAGTCTGTACAAGCTTTTAATTTGAAATGACAGTTCATACAAATACCAAGAGATGCTTTGTATGTCATTCTTTGTATATTTACAGTTTCTTAAAGAGAAAAAAATTGGAGGCAAGTTGGCTTTCATACCCAGCGAAGCATGCCATGATATTCCATGCAAGGATGCACATCGCCATTAACAGTGATGGCCTGTCTTTTAATCAGAGCTGGCTTGGTTGCGTACTTGACCTCAAACCTGGAGTGAGCGGCTTGGTCCTGCTCGCCAGAGCTCATAGGTGACAGAACCTCATCCAGGAACTCATCTGCCACATCGCCATCATCATCAACCCTTAGCTGTCGACAGTACCAGCTGAAACCCTGGCCCAAACAAAGATCAAATGAGTTGGAAATTTAGTTGGTTTGTAAAGATAAATGGTACTCTTAGCAACATTACCTTTTTTTTTAGTATTAGTATGGGTAAAAGTAAAGTTTCCATTTATTATTTTATCGATTTAATGTCATTGAAAAAAAGTGAAGTTGATTTCATCTCTGTCAAGATTACAACTTACCTTTTTTTCTTAAGGCGAGTATCAAGAATGAGAATTTAGATCTAATCATTTTCGGACATTTCGGCGAAATAAAAAGTGAATCTGGAGATTGAATATAGGGATGATACATGCATGGAAGCTGTATAAAGCCCAGTATGAGTGAAATATTGAATTTTAAGGAAAACATGCAAGAAAAACATAAACATTTTTCGAAGGGATGTTATCAGGGATCAGAAAAGTTGAAAGCAGTGATAATCTCCAGAGAAATCAGGATGAAAATTTTTAGACTCGGGTTTCGTTTGGAACAGCTTCTTTACTATTTCTTGAAGCAGTTTTCTAGTTCAAAAATTTTAATTATTGTACGAAAAAGCTGTTTTAAAAAACAGTTAGAAAGTCGTCCCAAACGAAACCTCAATATGATAACAAAAGCAGCTCTATGTACAGCAATTAAATGTTGGCTTATGAGCATTTTCAACAGTGTATGCTACTGAGAAACAGTTAATATTTAACAAGATAAAAGTGATTTGCAATTCTACAAACAACTAATGTAATCAACATTTTAATTCAATCACCTTGAAATATGGAAAAATTGTCAAAATAGACTGAAATCAATAAGGAGATTACATATTGTCTGCTTAATTTTTATATATTAACAATATTCAATAACAAAAGGATTTATGCCAGAGCTCACCTCCATCGTAGCATTGAAAAAAAAACAAGCACAATAATCAATCCAAAAGACAGGACAAATGATGAAAGAAGCTAATTAGCAAACATCCTAAGACTACTTAAAAAATTTGATTACAATTCAAATGATGTTTAAAAATTCATCAGAACTATCAAATTCACACAAAAGACGAGATCAGGAAACAAGCCAGCAACATTTACAATTTCAGAGTACCATAATTTGATGGGTATTAGCATTTCTGAGAATTGAAAAGCCTACTAAACTGATAGAAAACAGTCCAAAAATCCAATATAACTGCTGGATTTTAGCACATTCCAGCAATAACAGTGCAGGTTTCACAAATTCTGTAGGAAAATCTGAGAGAAAAGCACTCAAAATTCAATAAGAGAAGGAAAGAAACAACCTGATGCAATGAATCTATGATTCAAGAGGAAGATTCCACTCTCCAAATCTCAAGCCGAAGCCTAGAGCCCAAAATCAAACTTCAGATCCCAAATTCATATTACAAAATTCAAGATAATTCTAACCCTAACAAGAAGAAAGTAGTTAAAGCAAAATGACAATTACTAATTCCCTAAACAGCCCTTAATTTCAAATTTTCCCTCCAACCCTTCACTAATTAGTGTGTGGGCCCCATCACACCAGCCGCCCCCATCTTCTCTTTCTCTCTTTCCCTAGTTCCGCCCCACCCTTGGCTCGCCTTCTGTATGCCTGTACAGGTCCTGGATGGATCGGTTCAGCCGGCACTCCTTGGGCCGGCCTAACATAAACATAAGCTACTACCCAAGATTGACTCAATCTCACCAAATTAATTCAGTCAGTATTACGCATAATCCATAACAAGCAAAATATGAGCACAAATTTACTACTATCCTTACAAACCAATCTAACAACTATTGCAGCTTGCACAAGCCATTCATAGCTAGAAGCCTAGAATGAACCTAAATTAAATCATCATTAAAATGCGGGAAATCAAGTTTCTCAGTTTACATAACACTAGCTGTTTTGTAAGTTTGAATTCGAATATGTAAACCAAATGAGAGTATGCATGTCAGCATTAAGCCTCAATGTTTTATGAGATCCTGCAGATTAATTGGTGAGGATTGAACCAACATTGTTTTTCTTATCCAAACAAAATCACTAGGTCCACGCAGAATATATATATTTTTAAAAACAATTAAGTGCAACAAAGATAAAATAATTATGATGAGGACATCGAAGATCAACGGCTACGATCGTGTCTATTTATTTTCATGTATTTTATTTGTTATTTGTACTTTTCCATTTATACCCTCACTTGAGGGCTTTGTTTTATGTTTGCCCTAGGGGCAATTGTGTCTTTTATTTTCCTTCATGTATTTGGCTATTTAAGCCCTCCCCTTCCTCTTGAATACTTGCGTGGGATCACTACCAAGGAAAACAATATGCTTATCAACATTTCAATGTATTATTTTTCCATTTTTTTAAGGTCGTCCATTGTATATTCATTTGCCTGATGAACAGCTAGGGACAAAGATTTTGGTGTCTTGATATATAAAATATTGAATATGATCATTTATTTAAGATTGTGAAAATGTTTGTTGCAATC